CTATTTAAGTGACTGGTCAGAGTGGAGGGACGACTTTGTAGCCATGATGAAGATGGGAAGCTTGCATACTAAATTCCTATTTTGGCGAATGCTCTATATATCATCTAATAAGATATTCCTTTCTAATTTTCCTCTTGATTGAAAATGTTGGTGCTCATCTCAGGACTGGGTTAATATGACTTGAATTCTCCATTTTTTTCACATTTTGTCTGCACAAACTAATTTCTGGTCACAAGGGAGTCTTCATGGTCTCAGTTGTTAATCTGCTGAAAATTTGTTGTGCTCTTTGCTTTTTTAGGAAGGTTGTCTTGTGAAGAAAACAGCAGATAAATTTTGCTAAGTCCCTGTGAGTCACCCAGCAGCAATGGCAAAGCTGGGAGTTAAAAACAGGGGAAAGAGGGGGATTGGTGAATGGGTGGTGACCTGAAGATCTGACTCAAAGCACACTATTCCAAGTGTTTCCAAATGACAAATACTCAATTATCTCCAGGTATTCTGCCACCGGGAGCATGTGGGTACCACACAAAGTTATTAAAAGTATTAAAATATTTATTAACAAATAAAGTTATATACAACTGGTGCTCACACAGGTTCCCATGGTTCACTGGGTCTGAGCACTGAGATACGCCTGAGTGGCAACAGAGGACAAAATAATTATGAAATCAGGAATCTACTCAGAAACAAAACATATTTATTACATTATTTTGCCTTCTAGGAAACTGTGCATACCAGAGAAATCAGGACATTGGCTCTCCCACCATATGCATTATCTAGCCAGAAAACATGTAGCTCCCAGATACCTCTGAACCCCCTCCCTTCACCCTGCCCTGCAAACCTTGGTGGCCCCCTACCAGCAAGAACAAACCTGGTCATCTACTAAATCTGTTACTGTTCTCAGCTAACTGACTTCCTGTAATATCAGCAAATATTTCTGCTTTTGTAAATCTGTTCTTCCCTCTATAACGGGGTGCCAGCGGGACCCGGAATGCTTTGGATCTAGGAATGTGCTGGTTGGCAGAAGGAACAAAGAAATTGCTCACCCAGAAGGGCAAAACAGGACTAATGCTTTTGGCTGCTGGGGAGAAATCACATGGAAGTCAAGCCAACAACTTCTACATGCAATCAGAAAGGTGCCATTGGATGCTACTTTTAATGGCAGACATTGGTATCGGTCACTGATGAGAAATGTCTTCAGTAACTAAAATAAAATCAGATCCCGAAACACGTCTGTGGTTGCGCAGTCTCTTGACAGATACTGCCCGCTGCCCGGTAATGTCAGGCTCTCCCTGAACTTGACAGGGCAGCTGCTGTTCTTCCCAGCCTTCTGGAAATAGGCCAGCTATGACATGTTCCTGATATTAGTTAGCTGCAGGGCGTATTTCATTCTGCTGCTCTAGGCAATTTGATAAAGGCCTCTTCCTCCCACTCCAGAATTAACCCGCCCCAACTGTAGCTGAACACCTAGCTGCAACAATACTGCATTCGTTAGGGATGGTGCCTATCTGCTTAGTTAAAATTTGCTTAAATTGGTTGTTTCATACAAAGGAACGCTTCAATTGATTTCATTGTGTTTTCTGAGCTGAATGCTAGATGTATATCAGGAGTTGATTGCTACAGCTCTTTATGAATAAAGTTATTTTTAAGAATCATTATCCTTTTCTTGACACCAAGTATTTATGTAGCATAAAATAAAACTTGGTCTCCACCCCTTACAGAAAGAAGTGGAAAGTCTTCAGCTGATACATAATTGTTAAATGTAAGAAACCCTGAATTCCCATTTGTACTCTTGTAGTGTCCTTAACTCCAGACCTACAGGGAAAGTTGACACTAGGTTGGGTTTTTTATTCCATTTGAGACCACTGGAGCTATCCAGGCATTTCCATACTTTCTTATTGTTTTACCTCAAGATCAATTTTTTCCTTCAGACAATTAAAGATACAGACAGCATCTGGAAGCACAGTTAAGCCTTATCTTACACCAAATGGAAACTGCATCTCCTATCCATCCTGGGGATCCCTTTTCATTTGTGCTTTGGAAAGTGGCACCCATCACTTTCTTTGCCTATTGAAAAGGCATAATTATTACCAACTAAGGGCTATTTTCAAATCAGTTCCTTGCTCTGTGAGACGTGGAGCAGCATCTGTGAAGGGTTCCCTGCACCATGCCAGAGCGATGCTCAGCAGCTAGCTGCGACCACGCTAATGCCGCAAATGAAAGAGAGGAGAAAAATCCCACCATATATTCAGTGACACACCCAGGAACCTGAACCCTGCAAGCAACCAACTGGAGCCCTGAAGAATGAGATTTGGTTATCACAATATTCCCGATACAAAGCTGTCAGCATCGTTAGTGTGTTGAGGCCAAGCCAGGCGACCCTGCCCTGCCTGAGGCCCTGGGGGCTGGCGGTGCCCCAACACCCCAGTACCCGCACGTGCCCCTCTGATGGGTATTTGGGGGGTGTTTTCCCCATGCCCTCAGCTGCCTGTGTCGGGAGCTGGATTTCCTACACCTGGGGAGAATGGGGCTCCATCAAATCCCATGGTTGGCAGGAAGACCCTAAGTGATGCAGCAGCCCCTTTTCTTTCCTCCTTCAAGGTGCATAAAGCCGCGGTGGGGGACGGGCCTCCCTGGGGATGGAGAGGAGCGTTCCCGCCGTGCATGGGGGAACCGCCTGCGGAGCCCCTCCGAGGGGGTGCGAACACCCGTGGGAAGCGCATCCCCTGTCCCTGGCTTGGGGGGACAGCCATGACGCACCCTGTTTTCCCTGGGAAGAGGAGTGATCCCCCAAAGGAGCCCTGAGGGGACGGGGGACACCCCCACCGCTCTGAGACCCCGGGGATGGGGGACATCATCCCCGGGGGGCACCTGCAACCCTGCCGGGATGGGGACAGCCCTAACCGGGGCAGAGCACCCGTGGTGGCACGGGGACCTGTCTCTTATACACATCTGATGTGTATAAGAGACAGATACACCTCAAGAGGTTTTGCAAAGAAAAGGGGAGTCCTGAAGTGCAGTTCCCTCCTGGCCTGGTGTGTGCTTCTCATCTTTGCGTCCCTTGTAATCTGCCCGGAGAAGATTTCTGAGATACTTGAACGGCTGCCACGGTCTGCATGGGAGGCAGGGACCTTGGCATGTGAGCTCTGCCACCTGATGCCTAGTCTGCATTGAGAGAGTGCCAGCTGGATCTGCAAGCCTCGGCAAATACAGCCTCTATCAGCGAGTTATCTGATCGGGTTGCTGCCTCGTGGTCTCTCGCTGGTCTTCCTCATTCTTCTCCCTGTTGTTGAAACAGCCTTTCCACTTCTTGCTTTCTCTTGAGTTTCTGTCCTTACACAACAGCCTGTTGGCCCCTTTGTCAATGCTGGTATCAACAGGTTCCAGATTATTTATTTTTTTTAACAGTCCTTGCATCTGGCACACGTGTGTGTAGCTGTACAACCTCTTCTGAGACATGTGACACAGCTAGTCTTCTACAGCTTTTTAGAAATGCTCCCTGGGGTTTGCAGGCAGGTCCTGCACTTAGGTGCTGGGTGAAAGATTAACCTGTTCATTCCTCAGAAAGCAACTGAGCGAGTGGGGAAACACCACATCTCTTCCTCACTCCCTCTTCCCTGCTGGGAAGACCTCCTGCCAGCACCAACCACCTGCATTTGGAGTCATCCAGCCTTCCCCCAGACTTCAGCTGAAGGTACGGTGTGAACAAGCTTCCAGCGCAGACACCTGGAGCTGAAGGACAGCCACAGGGTTCCCTTGGTTTCTTGCTAGCATGCTTCCATCTGAACATTGACTGAAAAAATAGAGGCTGCGTTAACTAAGTTGCTGGCTAAAATAAGCTGCTCAGCTTTAGCAAGAGCACTTCCCATGCACAGTCCATCTCCCTGAAGTCCTTTTAGTCCCAGAAGTTTGCTGCATCGATCCACTCCTGTGCTCCTGAAGACCATTTAATTTCGAGTAAGCCAGCAGAGTCACGTGGCTGCCATCAGTCACATCAGTTTTGTC